GCCCTCACCCTATGTTTACTCACACCTTCTATTCAGTTCCCCTCCTTGACAAGCACAAAATCCGGTGGGGGATGTGTCACTAGGTACAACACACCACAGTCAGTGCAATGAAGGAAATAGAAGAATGCTGTGAGCACACAGTCATTTGTCATTACCCGACCTGGTGTCTTTCAAGTCAGTCTCTCCCTTTCCCATTCTCCTGTAAGTCACGTGGTCTTACAACGTTCCAGAATATCCTTGATTTCTAAGTCTGCCAAAAAATGTAGACTTCATTTCTCCTATAATATTTCACTCAATTCCTACAAAAACAGTTCAATATATTGCTCCAGTCACATCAGCCATATTTCCAAAAGAGAAAACATAACATATCATTCCTTTGCTCTGAAAACATCTACTGTCTTTCAATTCCCCAGGAGAGGAAGTCGAAATCGTTAGCACACCAAATAACATAATACGATATACTTTTGAAATTGCACCTTGTAAAAGCAGAGCGGCTGTCTGAATTCCAGTCCCCCTGCCTACTAGCTATGTTACCTTTAGTAGGTCATTTTGCATCCCTGTTTTCTCATCCACAAAACAAGGATACTAAAGGAATCTACTGTACAGATTTGCTATCAAGAGTAAGTAAGACACTCCATGCTAAGAACCAGTACAGTTTATCTGGTAACAGTTCTCTTAGGCTATCTCATCTTCCCAGAATACATCACTTCCCAAGGGGAGCAGATAACCAAGTTTTGCTTTCATGTATTTTATAATGATTAACAGTAGGAGTTAAATCAGAATGACCCTCTGATTAATACCGAGCCAACAAAAACTTCAATTAACCAATATATTGCATTCATGAAAATTTTGGTTTGTCTCAACTATCATATTTACTTTAATCAGATAATGGTATAATTTGATCCCCAGACCTCATAATCAAGACAAAAATCACAAAGCTTAAAAACTCAGTGATTCTAATACTGTGAAAAACTACAAAGTCCTCACTGCTAAAAAAAATATATAAATAAAACGACCAGAAATATTTTTTAAAAACTTATTGATGGTGTTAAACGCTAATGACATGGTGAAAAGTTTTAGTAAATTTGTAGATGGACAAACATTGGAAAGGAGAAAATAAAACTAGAAAACCCTGCATTTGCGCTTTTAAGGGCTGTGACGTTAGATAGCAATTCTTCTTAGCAAACAAACTTTTAAACCAGGTGTGGGTGGTACATGCCTGTAATTCCAGCACTGTGGGAGCATGAGGCAAGCAGATTCCAAGTTTAAGCCCGGCCTGGGCAATTCAGCAACTGAGCAAGAACCTGTCTCAAAATAAAAAATTAAAAAATGGCTGGGGATGCAGCTCTGCGGAAAGGCACTCGGTTCAAACCTTAGTAACATAAACACTTTTTAAAATTTAAAAAAAAAAAAGAACAGAACTGGTCAACTAAACTCGGCTAGTGGCAACGAAAGCAACACCTTTCAAAAGAAAATCCGGCAGTATTTTGACAAAATCTTCCTGTTCTCTAACCTTGTAATCCCTCTCCTGGGCCTTCAGCTTAAAAGAAAGAAAAATGATCAACAGCTATATACTAACGCACTACTTGCTAAATGGTAAGCAAGGTGTCCAGTTACTGAGAAATAAGTAACTCAACTCCTTATAACATTAGGTAATAATCTAAAGGTATAAAAATTATAGCAAAAAGAAAACCCATTAAAGATGGAAGCAAATATTAAATATTACATTTATGCCTTGATTATAAAATACATAGATATGATAAAGAAAGAAGAAGAAAAATTAAAGGCTTACACTGAATTTTTTTTTATTTCTTTGACCACTACCTTGTTTGGAATTGATCAGGCCCATCAGACTAAGTTTAAACATTTCATGACTGACTTTTCAAAAGCATGAAACCACAATCATTTTTCCCCCTAAAAATCTATCACACAGGAGTAATCAGATACACTCTTCTCACATAAAGACAAGTCATACATGTAATTTTAGCCATGCTATTAGCCAGCTGTAACGTTATTGTACTAAAATCTCATTTTACCATCAAAATGTAACTATCTATGGGATCTCCATATGGTGATCAGATGCCACTTGTTATGGGACATTTACAGAGAGGCACCGAAGCAAGACGCTAAAACCATCTAGCCAAATGGAATGTGAAGTTTCAGTTTCTCCCATATTCCCAAATGAATAATCATGTTTCACAGCCACTCAAGGGCTCCAAGTCCCTAGGAGTGGCAGCTAAGGACTCAAGAAAGAAGAAAGCACAAGCGGACTTATCTCCTTGTGAAAAATTGGAGACTTCTTCACTACTGCCTATAGCACCACGAAGCAGAAAAAAAAAACACTTTCATGAGGTCAAAAGTGTAAGAGATGACCCTAAGTAATTTCAGGCATGTGACTTGCCTGTTCAGGCTTTAGTTTTTTTAAAGGTAAAATTTTGAAAGTTGAATAAGCTGAGCATGTAGGCACATGCATGTAATCCCAGCATTCTGGAGGCTGAGGCAGACAGGTCAACTCAGAGTTCATGGCCAGCCTGGACTACATGAGTTCAAAGACAGCCTGAACTACATAGGAAGACACTTTCTCAAAAAAAAGTTGAATCAAATGATGTTAATATCTTTAAATTTAACATATGTTAATGTAACAGATCCTTTTTCCAATACACATGTCTGTCACAACTTCCACTCAGATGATTAAACAATTATTAAGACTTAGAATCAGGAAACCAGGGGCAAAGGTGAAGTACAGATGACTGTAACCGCAGTTGTATCTGTTTTCCCACATGACCTTGGGTAAATTACCGCACTTCAAAATAAAGTCCTAGGACCAAGGCAGCAATCCTCACTAGCCACGCCCTTTTCATTCCTGCATCACAAATGGATTGGTCCTTTCTATCATAGCTAGGACTTCATTTCTAACCAACAATTTTATACTTCTTTCTTGGGGTATTTGTAAGTTTCTTGCACATTAACCTTTTCTGTTTTCTGATGCTGAAAAAAGGCAGTCTAACACACCTTGCCTACCTTAAAGCTATATTCAAGGCTGGGACAATTTCTCAAAGACATATTCAGTAAATGGCTTTTGTGCACCTATGCCACACAACAGTAAGAGCTAGAGTTGTGAACTTCAGAAGAAACTGAAAAGCCTCACAGAGACAGATGTATAAACTAATCATTAACTACCAATCGGCAAAATGCTAAGTGCACAATGTGTGCTACACAACCCTGCTGGATTGGTGAAGACAGAGGGATGAGATGTCTGGACAAGACTAGAGGAGACAGTGCAGTAAGATCATGAAAGGCAACTTGTTTATTAAGAAGAGAAGACTTCTCAACAGAGAGAACCATAAAACCCAAAGGAACATGTCATCTTCTGAGAATTATGCAAAGTCTTATGTGAAAAAGGGCAGGCATAATGGAAAGAGACAAAACTAAAATCAGCCTCCTACCAAAAATGGTGAAAGTTTTGAATATTCGCCAGATAAACCATGAAAAGTCACTAAAGGACTTCTGGACATGAATCAAAGTCCTCTTCTTTCCTCCACACAGTAAAAGGAGCTGAGTGAAGGTAACAACGAAATACTTCTACCTGTGGAAAGGTAGGATTAAAAAGAAACTATTTTTAATGGAGAATTCCTGTTCTCAGGGTGGCATCTTAGCATAACACTGAGGCAATATATTGTGAATTATGGCTAACAGGTTGAAGAAAGTATTTCAACTTAAAGAATATATGAGGTCAATGTGTTGAAAACACTAAAAAAAGTCAAGTGAGAAAACAGTAAAGCACTTCTAATACATTAAAACAGGAAACAGTAGTAGCCTAAAAGACTGACTTCAGGCAAAACCCTGAGTGATGTTTACATCCTTGTTATATATTCATTATGGACTATAAAACGTAATTTATACATATTTTTCACTGGAGAATACCTTACACTTGGTTAAAGTCTCTTTAAACTAGTCTAAATGATGCTTTTAAAGATAACTGGCCAAATGAATCGGCTTAATACTTTAATAATCAGGAGGAAAGGAACGCCCTTTCCAGTGGATAGTTTCAAACCCCTAAAGCTCCCTTCCTCTCCTTCCCAGGGAGGAATGACAGTCCAATCTGGGACCCCCAAGAGTCCCTGTATCAGTAATTTCTACGCTGCTAAGGCCTAGTCTAAGAACAGCCAGCCTAAATGGCTGTGTGGCCCACAGACATGAATTTGCAATTATTAAAACTCGAACTCGAGCTTAGTCACCAAGGACCATCTCAGAGAAGTCATTCCTCCCTTCACTTTATCAAGAAAGTAGGTGCATTTTTAAAAATACATGAAAATCGGAAGGGGAAAGGGATGGACGGGAGGGGAAAGGGATAGAAGGGAGGGGAAGGGGATGAAAAAGAATTAAGGTGAGTTATGTACATGTACCAACTCCCCACAAGGTGTGTCATCATTATGTACTGCAATAATGCGCTACTACTAATAAAAATGTTTTAATGTATAAAAATAGCAGATGTCAAGGCAGGACGCATCTGAATCTACAACAACGGTGTGATCAACCAAAGTTTCGTCTCAGGGTGTGCTTCAGGGCGTGTCTTTGTTTTGACCCGGTGATTTAGAACACCCCACTCCTTCGCGGCACCCGGGGCTTTCCCCATCACCCGCCCGGGCGCCCCAGCTCGGCCTCCGACGCCGGGCGGCC